ATTTGGCCCTTTGCTTCACCTAGCCTACTATTTAATCCTTCCTGTGCATTATTTACTTCAAATATTGCATTCTTTATTTCTTACTGGTCCTTTTTTATAGTTTCTATGTCTCTTCTCATGCTGTTGAGTATTATACTCATTACTGTAAACTTTATATCTGATCAATTCCTTGCCTCCATTTCACCTAGTTCTTCTGAAGAATTCTCTCATTCTTTCATTTGGGGTCTGTTTGTTTGCCTTCCCATTTTGGCTTCTTCTTTGTATTTTCTGCCTTAGCTGCTAGACTAATCAGCTATTAAACCAATCAGTTGTTGATCTAATCAAGCTGAAATCAGCAGCCTAACTTAAGCACCACAGGGCAGGGCAAAGTAATTCCTGTGGACAGCACTATTACTTCCCCTGAGGCTTATACCACTTGGAAAACAGCGCTCTGCCTGAGAAAGATGGTTTCTGTAGTATGGGGAATGACTCAGCATAGGGAGCCTGATGGCTGTTTCTTTAGTTCTCTCCCGAGAGCCACCAACCCCAGACTCTCCTCAAGCATCTCTAGTTCCAATCTACCTTCCTTCTGCCAGAGCCCAGGGTAAGTGGCTGCAAAAGAAATTTTGTGCATTGGCCCTTTAAAGAGGCTATCTGCGTCTCCAGCCATCTCTCCCTGACAGACATAAACCCTGCTGCTTTTCACAGCTGGATGTTATCTAGGTTCCTTTCCAGCTCTGGTGCTGTAGGCTAGGGAGCCCAGCTCGGGGTTCAGATCCTAAATTTCTCAGGGGAACCCCCTGGTTGCTGAAACATCCTTCTGGAACTTTAGCTGCTGCCTGTGAGAGCACAGCCAGCCCTTTCATGCCTCCTCTGCACTGCCTACCTATCTGGTTGTGTGAAGTGGTTTCTTCTTTCTGTCCTTGGTTATAAAGCTTCTCTCCAGCTAGTGTTCAGTTGGTTATTCTGGATGATTTCTCTACAATTTAGTTGTAATTCCAGACTGGTCCTGGGAGGAGGTTAATGTAGCTTCCACTTCCTCTGTCATTTTGGGTCTGAATTTCTTTTCATTTCTTGAGTGCAGATTGTATTTGAATTCATGACGGAATCAACGTAAGTGAAACTTTAACAATTGCAATGGCTTCACTGTTTATTTTAAAGTTGTATATTTCTTCTGTATTCATGACTTCTATCTTCTCGATGTTCAAATGCAGACCTGATTTAGCCCATTATATAAATGGACAAAGTTATCAGAGTGGATAAACAATATTGCTAGTAAGTAGAAGAACCAAAATTCAAAATCAGGTCAAAAGGACCCCCCTATTCAATTAGGTTAAACAACATAAAATAGGCAATGCTTGACTAGTTGAAAATTAAGCATAATAAGAACTGATATAAAGTTATTATTATGATTGTGCTATTTAGAATTTATGATGGTACTATGATCTTTAATTTCTCTAATACTTGGTTTTAATTTTTTTATTTTTTTCATAGAAATAAAAATACGGTAACTACCCCCAAATTGAGAATTTTTTAAAATATGAATTTAAGCTGAGATATAAAAAAAATGAGGCAGGTAGAAATAGCAATCTGGCCTTGAGAGAGGGCTCTGGTGCTCAAGGATTATTTGGTGATGGTTCAAAACAAAATTTATTCCAGGTATCTTACTTTAAAAAATCATCCTTATAAGGTGTTTCTTTTCAGGTGATGAAAATATTCTAGAATTAGATAATGTTAACAGCTGCACAACTTTATGAATATATTAAAAACTACTAAATTGTACATTTCAGAAGAGTGAGTTTTATGTTCTGTGAATTATGTCTAAATTTTTTAAATAAGGTTAATTTTTTTAAATGAACTTTAATAGAGACTCAAATCCATTTTAAACCAAGATCAATTAGGAGCTAATCCACAGACAACAATTTGAAGTCTTGGAGCAGACTTAGGCATTTCACATATGACTTTCTTTGAAACCTAGTTAAAACAGTGAAAAAGAAAAAATTATAGAAATTGGTACACAAAAAAATTCAAGTGTGATAAAAAATTCAGACAGTGGAGGTATAGATATCACTTTAGATTTAAAACAACAGAAAAACATTTTTGGAAATCATAACCTGACAATCAAAAGTGATTTGGACAATCACTGGATGCTGGAATATCTCCCAAACATGTGAGAAACCATCAATGCAATTCCCAAAAGTACAGTGACTATAGGCTGATCTATAAAAATTATAATTCCTTATTCCACTTTCACCACAGATAAAACAACAGCAATAACATGTTACCAAGAAATTGAAATTATGCATTAAAAATTAATCCTAAAGCACACGCATTGGTTAACAGACATGGACCTATACATTTTCATGACAACATTCAACTATATGTGTCACAAACTGACCATAGCAAAGTTAAATGAATTAAGCTACAAAGTTGCTACATTTACAATATTTGCGAAATCTTTCTCTCATGGACTAGAGCTCTAAAAAAAAACCCCAATTAAAGCATAGTAGCTGATGCCTTTGAACAACTTATATATATCATCTAAAAATGTAAAACTTTATAAAAATAAAATATATAATATTTTTTGAGACTGGTATATTAATTCTTGGATGTTAATTTCAAGTGGGAGAGTATATCTGGTCCCTGTTCTCCAAGTTGGCATAGCAGAAATCCTAATACTACATGTTTTGATTGAGTAAAACTTACAAATTCAAAAACACACATTTCCATTTTGACCACAAAACAGCAATTTCATATGTTTCAATCTAAAATAATACTGTTTTCAAAGAACAGGAGAGATTTTGACTAATTATATCTGTCTAATAGATCTACCTAAAAATGAAATGAGGTTGCTCACAAACCATCACAAGTTCTTCATAAAACATTTTGTTGTCACATCACCCACTTGATTTAGACCCACTGTTCTATTTGCTGCAACCAAAATTTTATATCATGGAATAGAGTCAAGATCCCAAGCTAAATATATAAGCACCAATCTACATATAAATTCTCTTCTTTCCAGTTAAGTCATCATATAATACTACCTCTCACGACAAAGTTTCTCTACACAAAGAATTGAGCCACAGTCTTAACTCAACTAGGCAGAAGGAAATAGCATCTAAAAGATCAAGAAATCAATTTCTAATGATCTATATGTCATAAATAAGACACCTATTTTTATAAAAATTGCAAAAATAAAAAGTAAATTCACTTAAATGCCTTAAAATTTGGGATTAGAAGATTAGGAAGCAAAAAAAAAAAACAATTAAGAAAAAGAGTTATCAATCTATGGTGGCACCCTTTACCCACTCCATTATCTTGTTATAGTCAGCCAGCACACACCCCAATCTCATCCCAACCAAAGGTGTGGGCAGGTGACTTCTTTCTGGGTACTTCTATGCCAAAAAAAAAAAAAAAAAAAAATCCATTTTCTTAAACCATGGTAGACAATTTTATTAGGTACATTTAAATATAATTCCAACACATGTCATTACAAGTCAAAAGCTGCATTTAAATTTAAAGTCTATTATTTGAAATTTCAGAAGTCTCATTCAGAATTCATGACTCAGTGAAGAAACAAATGAGAAAAAAAGCCATGGAGTCTTTCCACATGCACATATGTATCTAAACTGGTATATATGTGAACATGTATATCAACACTGCCATATATACACAAAACAGAACACAGGAAAAACCTTGATGAGTGGGAATTAAGAGAGGTGGAAGCTTATCATTGTGTACCTTTTTATACCTCCTGAATTTTGACCCATGAGAATGTAATTACCTATTCAAAAAGAAATTGAAATAAAGGAAGGAAGGAAGGAAGGAAGAAAGCAAGCAAGCAAGCAAGTGGGTGAAGAAATTGGCCTAAAGCAGAACTAGAAATAAGTTGCTATCATGAATGACTCCAAGTGTATTCATATTTTGTTTTTTAAAAATTCATATATATGCCCTGGCTGGTGTGACTCAGTGGATTGAGCACCGACCTGTGAACCAAAGGGTCACCAGTTCGATTCCTGGTCTGGGGCACGTGCCTGGGTTGCAGCCTGGGCCCCCAGTGGGGGCGTGCTAGAGGCAACCACATATTGATGTTTCTTTCCCTCTCTTTCTCCCTCCCTTCCCCTCTCTCTAAAAATAAATAAATAAAATCTAAAATAAATAAATAACTAATTCATATATAAATTATAATCTTATGAACTAAGACAATGTTTCCCAAACTTTCTTAACAGGAATGACCTGAGTCATTAAAAGTAGATTTTGGTGTCTAATCTAGACCTACTGAATTAAGATTTCCCAGGAAAACAATAAACTGAAGAAAAAGTACCCCCAGGTGATTCTTATTAGAGAAACCCCTTAACAAAGGAGTAAGGTTTGTTTCTGGAAAGAGCAACAACAGTGCAATTAGATTAACCTGGATTCATTCCATGGCTCTTCTTTCATTTACCTATGTGATCCGGAATAAGCTTGGTCTCTTAATGTTTCATTATTCTTACCTATAAAATGGAGATAATACTTCCAGGGGTGTTATAAAGACTAATTATGTAAAGGGTATGGAATAATTTTTCTTTAATGCTTAATTTCACCTTTCTTCTTTAAAAAGAAGATATCTGGCATATAGAAATCCAATAAATATGAATCTCCTTTCTCTTCATACTCAAATTACACAGATATTTGAGTGTGTCTCTAATTTAGCAAAGTTGCTGTTGAAGCAGGATTAATTGTTAATCTTCTTAAACACATATATACTTTTTCTAATCACTAAACTAGGAACCATCCTGCCAAAAAGCATTTACTAGCTCAGTTTAGTAGGTTTACTATTGACAAGTACAAGTATCACTCGCTTGTTAAAGAAACTCCTATACCAACTAAAAGATGTTACTTTTTACACTTTTACAAAATGAATAAAAAAAACTACAATGTTTTCTTGCACACTAGTTTGCCTTAACCTAAATTATAGCTTTCTTAAAAAAACAAAACAAAACAAAAAAACCCTCTAAAAAAAAATCCTCTAATAGTTGTACCTCTGTTATGTTTCTCTCTCGTAATGAAGCCAACTCATATGGATCCACAAAAAGTCCTGTCGGGATGTACTGTTTAATTAAGAGTCGGCAGGTCTGTAAGTCCTCAAGGCTTTCTCCAAATTTCACTTTTATTAAAAGGTCTCTGTAAGGCAAATATGTTTACAGTAAATCTCTTCAACTGTTAATGAGATAGCATAACACTACATTCAAATGAGTACAAACACTATATTTCAAATATTATAAATAAGATTATAAAGTCAAATGAAATATTTATATTATGTCAGAACCACCCATTAGATCTTTCATATATTCATGTCATAAGCTACAGTTTTATATTATTGCAATGATTTTTAACCGGTATGTCACAAGAGTCACCCTGCTGTGCTGAAAGAATTTTTAAAACATGCAATACCTGACATTTTTTTAGTCAGGAACACTGACCTCTTTTCCCTTGACAATTCAAATTAAAAAATGGCCAACACAACAGTAGCTATCCAGTTTGAATAAATCAAAATTATACCTATTTTTTGGTGTGCCGCAGAATTTTAGTAATTAGTTTATATGTGCCACGAGATGAAAAAGGTTGAAAATCACTGTATCAGTGTGAAATCAGGTCAACAGAAAGTGACAGAGTCCAAAAACAGTCACACACATATTTTCTTTCTTGTTTAAAAAAAATATTTTATTTATGTATTTTTGGAGAGAGAGGAGGGAAAGGAGAAAGAGAGGGAGAGAAACATTGATGTGAGGGAGGAACACTGGTTGGCTGCCTCTCAAATGTGCCCTGATGGGGGACCAAACCGGCAACCCACGCATGTGTTCTGACTGGGAATCGAACCAGCGACATTTTGCTTCATGGGATGATGTCCAATCAACTGAGCCACACCAGTCAGGGCTAGACACACACATTTTCAATAAAGGTCCAATATAATTTGATGGAGAATGGATAGTCTTTTCAAAAAACAACATGGAAACAACTGGATATCTATACAGAAAAAAATAAACCTTGACCTCCACCTCATACCACATACAAAAATCAATTTGAAATAAACTATAAACCTAGACATATAATTGTCCTATCTTTCTGTCTGGAGGCATGTTTTGGACCAAATGCAGGAAATGAGATCCAAAACACACCATGACAGTTTTGCTTAGGTAAGAAAACAGATATGACAGTTAAGGAAATCTGAAGTGGCTGGAAGTCACAATGCTAAGTTCCAGAGAGGAGGAACTATGTAGGAAAAGCTCTAGAAATCTGAACTGGGGAGTCCCCCTGAGTTTTTGTTGAATATTAAGATATGCATGAGCAAGGTGTAACTCCACAAGATGGGCAAAATATGACCAGGGAACCAAAATATGAGAAATTCTAAAATTTCATACAAGGTAGGGAGACATTTCCTTTCCAACCAACCAAAGCATAGAAATCCCAACGGGAACCCCAACCAAAGCTTTCACTTCAAATCCCATACAGTAAAGCCCTGAAGTAATTAATAGACACTTGTAATTTTCAACCTATACAAAAAAAAGTTGAAAAGATGAAGTGTATAAACAAGTAACCAAAACCTGCTAACAGCCCTGACAGGTGTGGCTGAATTGGTTGGGCATTGTCCCACAAAGCAAAGGGTTGCTCGTTTGATTCCTGGTTGGGGCACATGCCTGTGTTGTGGATTCAGTCCCCAGTCAGGATGTGTACGAGAAGCAACTGATCTATGTTTCTCTCTCACATCGATGTTTCTCTCCCTCTCTTTCTCCCTCCCTTCCCCCCTCTAAAAATAAATAAATAAAAAATTTAAAACAACTCCTAAAAAGTCAGCAAGATAAAATGCTCTGGAGAAAAGTGAATAGAAGCTTTAAAAGAAAAACTGCTAATGAAACTGCTAACTCCTTTAAAAGAAGAAAAAATTGACCACTCAAAAACATTTATATTCGCAACATTCACAATATTCAGTATCCAATCAAAAGTTACTAAATGTACGAAGAAGCAGGGAAATGTGACTAATAATGAAGAAAAAAATCATTCAAAAAAACAAGTAGAGATGACAAGGTGACAAAATTAGCAAAGGACATTATATCATTATAAATATACCTAACACGTTCAAGGATTTGAAGAAAAACATGAACATTATGAAGGAAAGTGAAGAAATATAGAGAGAGCTGAATGCAACTTCAAGAAATGAAAAAGACGCTTTCTGAAGTAAAAACTATCCAGATATAATTAAAAGCAATTAGACACTGCAGAAGAAAAGATTAAGTGTCTTGGAGATACAGCAACAGGAACTACAAACTGAAGCATGCTAAGGAAATAAGAATTGGGGTGGGAGGAGAAACAGTTTCAGAGACGTTTCAACTCAAGTGGAGAATATTGAGAGAGAGAGAGAGAATGTAACAGAAAGAAAATTTGAGGATGATATAATGGCTGAAAATTTTCTGATTTTCATGAAAACTGTAAGGTAGTAAATCCAAGAAGCTCAACAAATACCAAGCAGAAATCACACACACACACACACACACACACACACACACACATACACACTACCCCATACCAAGACATATTACCATCTAGTCAAAGGAAAAAAAAATTTTTTTAAGCAATCGGAGGAAAAAGGAAAATTACGTAGAGAGTAACAAAGATAAGAACACACCAGAGGACAATGGAATAATGTATGTAAAGTATTAAAAGAAAAAAAGCTATCAATTTAGAATTATATATCCAGGAGGAATCCTTCAAAAATAAAGATTAAAACAAACACAAACTAACAGAATTTGTTACTGCAATAAATAGTAAAGGAAGTTCTTCAGGCAGAAAAAAGAAAATCAGATGGAAACTTGAACCTACAAGAAAGACAGAAGAGCAAATGGTAATGTGTGGGTGAATATAAAAATATTTTTCTTGGCACCCACCTGCCCCACCCCTAGGAAAAAAACAAAAATAAAGCATTTTTCTCATTTTTTAATTGCTTTAAAATACGACTGATAGAGAAACTGGAACCCCTGTGCATTGTTGATGGGAATGTGAAATGGTGCTGTCACTACTGAAAACAATATGACAGTTCCACAAAAAATATAAGTGAAACTTGAAGACATTATGTTACGTGAAATAATTCAGTCAGAAGTAGTGTATAATTCCACTTATATGAGGTACCTAGAATAGTCAAATTCATAGAGATAGAAAGTAGAATGGTGGTTGCCAGAGGCTGGGAGAAGGGGAGAATAGAGAGTTGATGTTTTAAGAGGTACAGGGTTTCAGTTTTGCAAGGTGAAGAGCTCTGCAGATGGATGGTGGTGATGGTAACACAACAGTTGTAAATGTTTTTAATTCCACTAAAGTATACAATTTAAAAAGTTTAAGATGGTATACTTTATATAATGGGTATTTACCAAAATTAAAATAAATAATAATGTAATAAGACTTTTCAAAACAAAAATAATAACAATATATTGTGGGGTTTACAACATAAGTAAAATGTAAAATTAATAAATGTATGACAACAATAGCATAAAGGAAAGGAGAAGGAAATGAACTATTCTGATATAAGAGTCATGAGCCTCATTCATGGTGTAAAATAATACCATTTGAAAGTAGACTATGATAACTTAAAATTGCACACTGTAAGCCCTAAAACAACCAATTAAAAAGAAAATATAGTTACTAGGCCAAAAATGGAGATAAGATGAGATGCTTAAAAAATACTCATTTTATCCAAAATAAGGCAAAAAAAACAGAGAAAAGGCTAGATGGGCCAAATAGGAAAAAAAAAAAGTAGCTAGATGGATAAATTTAAGCCAACCCAACCAAACCAGTATTTACTAAAAGTAAATGGTCTAATCATTCCAATTAGAATGTAGAGATTGATAGACTGGATAAAATAACATTCTAATTCAATGTTACATTAGGGATCCTAGCCAGGTCAAACAGGGAATAAAAAGATATAAAAACTGTACAGATTGTCTTTATTTGCAAACCCATGATCATCTATGTTGAACAGATAAGGAGTCTACAAAAAAGCTGTAGGCATTGATAAGTGATTTCACAAAGAATCAGGGTACCATAACACCATATAAAAATCAATTGTATTTCTTTTTTTTTTTAACTTTTAGCTTCTTTATTAATTATTTTTTCAAATACATTTGTCTCTGCCTTCCCCCCAAAATCAACTGTATTTCTATTATTAGCCATCAATAAGTAGAAATGAAAATTTTACATCAAAAAACATGGAATATTTAGGGATAAATTTAACAAAATATAAAGTTACATATTGTTAAGATTAAACCGATAAAACCTAAATAAATGAAAATGCACATATTCATGCATTAGAACATTCAATGTTCACATATCAGTTCTCTACAAATTGATCTAGAGTTTCAACAGAATCCCAAATGAAATACCATGAAACTTTTTTTATGAAATCTACAAGTTGATTCCAAAAGTTATATGGAAATGCTACAGCATTTCTCTGATCTACCTATCTAATAGCTCTATAAAGAAAATAAATTTGTAATAAATTGTGCTAATTCCCAGAGACCTCCACTGCACAAACCATCCTTTTAATAATCTGGTCTAGAATTTTGCCCAGAATCTTCATCAGCTAGCGCTCAGATTATCCAGAGATTACAAATAGAAGTTCGGCAATCATTTAAGCAAATTCTCCTATTGCAATGAGATAGAGTTCATCAGAGAGGGGAGACTCTACACTCATTTAGAGTAGTAAGGCCCTTTTGTATACTTCCCTTACACATTCTGCACTTCAGTTTCCTACTACCAACACCTGCTTGACCATTTCCAAAGTGGAAGTAATTCTTCTTGACCAAGAAGACAGAAATAAGAAGAGGTATCAAATTTTACTTTCTTTAATCTGTTAATGTTTCCTCAACCATCCTAGCAGCAAAACCACACCTGTTCTTCCCGTAACTAAAAAGCCTTTTTTAAAACAATGATTACTGGTATATTCTGAAAGTCTCAAATAACAGATTTCTATTTTCTGAAGCTATTCTTGTGGGTTCTATCTCTCTTCATATTTGGTTTTCTGTCCTGTTTTTCATCTGCAATACTTATTACCGGGCAGCTACTTTTGCCCTTACAATAGCCTCTCCAGGCACTTCTTTCTTCCTTGTTAGAAATCATTTATGATTACACTGTCATCTTTACATTACTTATTATCTCCCAATCCTCCTTGAGAATATATCCCAATTACTTTAAAGAGAAAATCTATATACTTGGCACAATTACCTTGGCATTGCAAAAATATACCAGGAATCCTGTAAAAAACTCCTTTCAGAAGCAACTTCCCTCCCAAAGTTAGTTTTATTACTTTTTAGTCACATCTCTTTGACTGAAACTGTATTGCCCTGCTTGATCACCTATCTCAGTATTAACAATAGCTAACATTTCCAAGGTATATACTATGTGACAAGCACTACATTAAAGGGCTTTCCATATATTCTGTTTTAGTTCTTATAAACCTAATGAGGAACTATTATCATAATCCAGTGATACTGATGAGGTAGTAAAGATTTAAGTAACTTGATTAACACCACACAGATACTAAATAATAGAGCTACATTTTGAGCCCAAATCTGAGTTTTAAAAAAAAAACAACAACAAAAAACAAAACCACCCAAGTTCTTTCTACGATACTGCCTACCTACTCATTCACATGTAGGCCAGCTTTGAAGAGAAGAGAGAGAGATTTTAAATTGACATAAAATGAAATGATTTTAAAAATACATATTATCAGGCCCTGACTGGGTGGCTCAGTTGGTTAGAGCATCGTCCCCTATACCAAAAGGTTGCAGGTTCAATCCCTGGTCAGGGCACATGGAGGTTGCAGGTTCAGTCCTGGAAACAGGAGGCAACCAATTGATGTTCCTCTCTCACGCTGATGCTTCCCTCTCTCTTTCCCATCCTCTCTCTCTAAAATCAATAAACATATCCTTGGGTGAGGATTAATAAGCAAGCAAATAAGTAAATAAATGTATCAGAATTTTTAAATCAAATACCTGAGAATCATTTCAAAGTAATTACCTTGAGAAGCTTTAAAGTTTGGGAAATTTTCTTACGGAGCAGTTCCTACAACTTTTTACCAGTCTTTTTAAAAATATCTTCAATACTGGCAGATATCCATTTTTGAGGATAATTTATATTTTGGAAACAGCTCGGTCATTTGGGACCAAGTCTTGAAAATCACAAATAGTGATTTAAGGTGGTATAATATCTTAGAACTACTTGAGAACATAGCTTTGGAGCATGGTAGACCTAAACTGGAGCCAGAACTGGCTATACCACCCTACCCACTACCAAGTTATTTAAATTCTCTGAGCCCTAGTTACTTCATCTGAAAAACAAGAAAAATATCATCTGCCTCACAACCATTGTGAAGATTAAATAGGATATCATATATATAACTTCTAAGTATATGGTAAATAATAAACATGTTTTCTTTTCCACTGTTATTTTAATCATTATTTCAAACTGTAACCATGTATAATAAATCTGTCACATAACTGGAAGAACGCGATTTTTTCAGTTCATCCATTTTTCAACTACTCATTTGGTTTTGCTCTAAATTATATGAAACAGTACTATGATGCAAGTAGAAGTCAGCAGGCAATTTACCTGTGGAAACCATCTTTCAAAACTTCTTGCCGCAAAATGATGTCAGAGCAAGTGGCCTTTACGCCTATAAGAAACAAAAAAAAAAAGTTTTTAAAAAATAAAACAAGCACTCAATGAAAGAATACTTAAATAATTAGACAATAATTGTTTTAATAAGCCTTACTACACTGGAAAAATAAAACCAATCTCAAAATAAAACAAAAACCTTTAAAACTTAAATTGAGTTATATTTAATTTATTTCTGATATAGCATGGGGGTTAAGAAGACTGACTTTGGAGTTATTGCCTATCTTCAAGTCCCAGTCTGTCATTTAATAGCTGTGTGACTTTGGGCAAGATGGTTTATTGCTCTGCTAGTTGTCATGAGAACTTAATATATGAAGAAGAACTTAGAACAGGTCTGACCACATAGTGCTATGTGTAAGTATTTGTTATTAATATTACTTTGTTCAGGTGATCCCAGGACACCAAAAAGAACAGAATGGCTAAAAAGGAGCCAGAAAATCTCAGTTTTAATCCCGGCTCACTGAAACTGTGTTTCAGATTCGTAATAGCAACTTCCGTATTCTACCATCTACACCTATAAAACTGAAAAGACAGTACATTATGCCTTGTGAAGATGTTGAGAGGATTTCAAAAAACAAAAACTGGAGTCTTTTCAAAGAGTTCCTCTATAAACTTAGAGTAACCAGAAATCTCACTATACAGACTTCATGCAGAACTCAAACATTAAAACTATTACTTAATGTCAGCATCATACAATTAAAAATTCAATTACTGATGATCAGATCACCAACTCAGCGTGGCATCGTACTAGATAATTTTACTCCATTTTCAAAAGCTGGCAGTGTACAGGAAGAACATTAAAACAAACACACTAAAAACCATATTGTATTTTATGTTGCTAGGTCCATTAGATATACTCCTGAAAATACACATGGAAAAAAATAACATGGAGATGAAAAAAATCTGAAATATACAAGGGACGGAAGGGAAAAAGTATGGAAAAATAACATTTATTAAATAATACTTATATGACAGATCCTCTACTTGGGGCTTTCACATCAGTTTTAACTTTCACAATCTAGAAAAACAGGCAGGCAAAATTATTGCCATTTGTACAAAGGAGGCTTATAAACAGTTACTAACTGGCTCTGGGTCTTACAAATAAGTAACAGATTAAAAGCCAGATTTGCCTGACTTTTAAAGCCTCAGATATTTCCACTCTCCGAGCTTTTTAAACCCTTCTTTGCTACAAATAACTCTTGTACATATCCAGATGTTTTTTTCATCATGCTTAATTTTAATGGGGGTGTGATGGGGAATAAGAATTTTTAAATACCAATATATTAAATTAGAAAAAAAGGTCAGATTAAAGGTTTAAATTCTGTTGGAATATACACCAGAGAGTACAAAATCACATTCATCTGGGGATGGTAGAAAGGCTATTTATAAACAGTATAGTAAATACTAGACAGTTTGTGATTTTTAATGCAAAAGCACCATTTTAAAAACAATTTTTTTGCATCTGAACTGACCTTCAATATTTTTTTTCTTAAGTTATTACTTTATTTGGTTATTGTGGTTGGTCTGTACTCACTCTGGAAACTGACCCCTTTTTAAACATAAAATGCCAGTGTGGGAAGAGTCTAGAAAGATATTACCAAGTCCAACGGTTTAAAGTATCTTTTTGGCCTCATAATCTTTTCTTCACATAAATTTGGAAACATAATATGTAAACACACAAAAGCAGAACTGCATTGATCGACAGACACTAGTCTATTATTTTCCAGATGGAGAAACTCACGTGGTTTTTTTTTTTTTTTTTTTGGACTTTCCTTTCCCTATCAAAGTGGTAATTTATCTAATTACCACTTGCAGGCATTCGTCTCGCCCACCACAACGAAATCTCAACGAGGGTTGGGGCTGTGTTTTTAGTTCAGGGCTCGAATTCACAACTAGTACAGCACTCCAGCCCACGGACTGGGGCCCAAAGAAATCAATTAACTCACATGCCTAGACCAAACTGATACAGAAACTCCAGCCCAAAAGTACAGTACAGGAAATGGAGTAGCCAACCTGTGGAAACGGACAATGGCGTGGGGACTGCCTGAGGGAGTGAGGGGTTCTTGGTGGAGGGGGACAAAAGGGGAAAAATTGGGACGTGTTATACTATAATCAATGAAATATTTTTAAAAATAAATAATAAACACCTGGGATGAGTGAAGAAAAAAATATTTTTAAATGTTTGTAAAACAAAACTAGTCGTCCTCTTCTTCCCACGTCCCTAGAGTCTGTATTCTGGATTGGTATCCTCACACCTCACAGGGCACGGGGGCCTTGCTGGCCCCTTGTTGATAAGAAGCTTCCAGCATCCCAAGACGCTTCGAGCACTTCCTTTAGAATATTTCAGTAAGAGTGGCCAGTCCTGCCTCGGAACAACAGAGCCCGACTCTCCAGAGTCCACATAGCTGTGCGGAGGACAGGTGGAGAAAGAGGAAAATGGAAGTACTTGGACTTTGTTTTTAACCTCTTACAGCTCACCACACAGTTCTAGGGTCGCCCGCCGAGTTATAGTGAAGTACCTCCGCAAAGCACTTAAGGGAAGAGGACCCGGAAGTCCGGCTGCTGCCCACCCGCTTTGCTCTCAAGTCCCGCCCCCATACCCGCAGCCACGCCCCCCCATTTACCCGGGTCGGCAGTAGCTGCTGTGCAGGTGAGCCAGGCCGACTCCCAGAGGAGCAGCCAGGCCACCACTCGGACGACCACGGCCTGGGCAGCCAGAATGCCGAAGAACGTGCGCCGGAGACGAGCGCGCCTGGATGAAATGCGGACGGAGGAGCCTGCATAAGCTTCGCGCTGCTCCCAGAGCGCGCTGCCAAGGAGTTAGTGACTGGCACAGAAGCCTATGTGCGCCCGCGCCTTTAGTCCCCGCACACTTTCGGTCCCACCGTTCCCGGCCACCACTCCTCGCAGCCCAGGTGCCTGAAAGTTCCTGTCTCTCCGGAGGCGGCAGTCCGGGATCCTGGATTCGCTCCCTAGATGCCCCGCCCCTTGCCGCCCCGGGTTGGGGGCGGGGCAAGGACAGGCGCAAGCGCTTCGAGTGCACCAGGGTTGGTCCTCGGGGAACGGCTTCCTAGGCCCCCGGCCTGACCGAGTCTTTGGCACGCTGGCTGGGGACTGGGCTCCCCTAGCTGTCGGCCTCGACCTCCACTTCAGGTATTTGTGGTTTCGGACCTTCTGCCTGGGAGTTTACCCCACAGTCATATCTGCGGGACTCTGGCTATCACCTCTTCCTGCAGCTCTAGGCTCCGACCGGCCTCAAAGTCAAGTCAGGTGCTTCTCTGTGCGCTGCGGTTGGGTGGAAACAACGCCCCTCACAGAGGTTTTAGATGTTGGCCTGTCGAAGAAAATGCATTTTATGTACCTCTCTAAGGGTAAATAAACGTCTTTTACTAGTGGGGATGTGAGTAAGGAGAGGATCGTCTTTCTACACGTTGGATAAATTCCTAAAGCTGTGGAGGACGCTTGGCTAGATTCTGGCAGGCACTGATCTCTGGGGTGGGGGTGGTGCGGAGAGAAGTGGGGAGTATTAGTGTCTAGGAAGATGGGTCCGCTTGTCTTCATGAATTGAATTTAATCTGTAAGTAGGACGAGAGAGTATCCACAGATTGGAGCAGAACAGAGGGCTGTAGGACCAATATCTCAAAGAGGAAAGATGTCAGAGAATAATAAAACCGAAAGTATCAATGTAAGCGTGCTATAGTGAACTATGAAGATAAATTTTGGAAGACACTCTTGAGAGAATTGAAACTGGTTGTCTATAGAGAGAGGAAGGGCAGGGGACAGTAGAGTTATTATAAGCCTCTTAGACTTATTTTGCATTTTAGACAGAATACAATCATTAGTAAAAATATGAGTTAAAAAATAAAATCGGTAGTCAAAACTACATTATTGAGTATCAGTTGCATACATTGTTGATGAGTACAGCCATTTGCTTGAGAATGTGGGATTTGTGCCCAGTGGGATCTCCTAGAAAGTTTACTAATGTACCAAATTTTGTAAGATGAACTGGGATTAGTATTTGTTTAAAAAGAAAATAAGAAAGGGGGGGTGGTGGAGTGGGATCATTGCATTAGATCAGGAGCAGAGCACAGAAATTTGAAAAAGCAGGTTTTTTAACATATTATTTTCTAAGAGTAAAAATTCTTACATCCAACAATAAGGGGTGAATAATAGAGATTTTGGTATATCCATAGGACATTTGGCAGTCATATAAATATTTGCATTTTAGTAGAAAATTTAATGACAAAAATCACATAGGTTGTTAAATTTAAGAGGCAGGAAATAGTATGTATAATATAAAGTAACATAGTTTAAAAAAAATAAAACTATACCTAGAAAAAAGACTGGAAGAAATCAAGGGTCATTATTTTATATATGCTTCCTCCTCCCCCCGTCCCGCCTTCACCTCCAGTTTTCTACAGTGAACATGTATTAAATAATTATGTTCCTATAGTGATTTGCTGGCGGAACTAAGTTTATCATTACCCTATGCTGCTTTACTTCTGGGTTCCTTGATATTTGCAAATTTTCCTGGGAATAATATCGTCACATCGAAAGTAGTCCCTATAATTAACTATACTTGGCATTGGTGGCAGGGGAGGGAAAAGGGAATAGAAAGTAGTAACCTAAAAAATAGTTGTGTTTTTTGTCACTGGAAAAAAACCGTATAATGAGACAAGTAAGTTGAACTAAAAGTAATGTCAGCTGTATTGCTGTGTACATGTATAAACTGATTCTGCATTGGGTCTACCTTTTTTTTATCATACTTATAGACTGTAAAAACTTATGAGGACGTACAAGGGCTGTCTTAACATGTTGAATTAAACAAATATGTACAGAATGCCTACTACATTCCAGGTATTGTGCTGTGTTATTGTGGTGAACAGTGGATATGTTCCCTGCCCTTATGGAGCATATAGAATAGAAGGGAAGATAAATGATTAAATAAACAATCGCAGCCCTGACTGGTGTGGCTCAGTGGGTTGGGTGTTGTCCCACAAATAGAAAGGTGGCTGGTTTGATACCCACAAGGGCACATGCCTGGGTTGCAGAAGTCCCTGGTTGGGGGGATTGGAGGTGTGTGAGAGGCAACCCATTGATGTTTCTTTAACATATTGGTGTTTTTCTCCCTTTCTCCCTCCCTTCTCTCTCTCTAAAAACAGATGCATAAAATCTTTTTGAAAAATGAGTAATTACAAAAAACTTATGAGTACAATGATTGATAAAGTACAAGGGAAACAGATTTGGTCTGGTGAACCCCTCCAGACGTTATGTTTAAGATTATAAAAACTCTTAGTACCTTGACATGGATGGTACCTGTATATACTTGTTTAATTGTTAAATAAAAAAGATCCTGTAAGTCAGTTCTTGGGCTGACTCATGAGTTCATATACAATCTTTGGTTAAGAGTACAGTACACTAAGTAATTCAAACTGAAGCATTTCCAAGCTCATGTGTGAACATAGCTACAGCCCTCAATGAGTCAGGGATTCAACAAGACTAAGGCTAACCAAAAGCCAAACTGAGCTTTCAGGGTAACTCTCAAAATATTGAGCTGGATAGGCTGAGCATGCATTTCTAGAACTGATCTAGATCTGGACTAGAGCCAGATATGCTGGGGAGGAGGGATAGGGAGGAAAGTGATTTATCCTATACTTACAGTAATTATTTTCCTTTTTTCCAGGAAGTCATTATGTGACTAACACATTTTCATCAGATTTCCTCTGATTTACCCTGAAGTGTATGTGAGAATGATGTGCACTGCCAAGAAATGTGGAGTTAGATTCCAGCCTCCAGCTATTATCTTAATCTATGAGAATGAAATGAAGGGGAGAAGTCGCCAGCGCATTATGCCTGTCCGAAACTTTTCAAAGTTTTCAGGTGCCTCATGTTTCATCATGCCTCCTATCTTAAATATTCTCTAAAGCACTTAATGAGAATGATTTGAGTCTTATGTTGTGGTGTGACATGGCATTAAGAGTTAAACAAACCTCTACCTGGGTATATGTATGACCCTGATTTTAGGTTAAGAAAATAAAAAATGCATTCCTCCTTCCTCTACCACACTTATAGCTCAATGTAAAGGAATAGTTCTGCAGAATAATTTGTTCCCCAAAAAGCCACTTAGCTACCTTGCTATAATGGCAGATAATGCTGTCAGTAGTTTGCAGTGCACCAATAGGTTGTGGTGTATAGCTTCTGTGTGGTATATAGTTTTGTTTCTCTCCTAGATTGCAACAGAGCCGCTGAACAATTAAAGAATAATCCGCGACACAAGAGTTACTTGGAACAGGTGTCCCTGAGACAGCTAGAGAAGTTATTCAGTTTTTTACGAGGTTACTTATGGGGACAGAGTTTGGCAGAAACAATGGAACAAATTCGACGGGAAACAGCTATTGATCCTGAGGAAGACCTGAACAAACTAGATGACAAGGAGCTTGCCAAAAGGAAGAGCATCATGGATGAACTTTTTGAGAAAAATCAGAAGAAGAAGGATGATCCAAATTTTGTTTATGACATCGAAGTTGAGTTTCCACAGGATGAACTGGAGTCCTGTGGCTGGGACACAGAGTCAGCAGATGAGTTCTGATCCCCCAAACCAACATTTATGGGGCTAGCAGAAACTCCTTGTTTATACAGAGAATGTAGATTAGTTCTAGAAAAATCCGTAACAAACTAAATGTATATGTTGGACCATATTTGGATTGACCATGTGACTTTTCAAAACCAAGACATGTAGTACATCTGCTATGTAGGTGCATGAGGAATGTAGAAAAAACAATATAGTTATCTGATTTTAAGGAGTTCACAATCTAATTGGAAGATACGTCAAAAACTTTTGAAAAGCTAACAGTATTAGGCAGCAAAAAGATTAAAGCCAAATGCTTGATAAAGGCAAAAATGGGTCAGAGCCAAGATTACTGTAGAGCAGAAGAGTCAGGGGAAGACTTGGTCCTTTAGTGGCAAGATTGGATTTTGTCTGGCCCTTGAAGTGGTAGTATTTGAATAGAAGCTTATATAGGATTCCAGATGAGAGAAACTTGGAGGAAAAAAGAGGGGAAGGGTACATTAAGCAAATTATAATTTGATAAGATTGAAGAGTATGTATGGTTACCAGGGGATTATCCTGTATGCGTTATGTCTTTATATGTATATATGACTCTTTTATAAGTATTTCAATTCTGCAGTAGAAGAGTAACCCTGCACAATGCCCCGCAGCTGCCACTGCATGTCATTTGATGGACAGCAGGGGGATTCTGCCCTTCTGGTGTCAGGAAGTATATACCAAAGACATTCTGAAACCCTGAACCTCTTCCCATAAATAAGAGGTTTGTCTGTAAAATGGGAATTCTACCAATAATAAATGAACAATAGGTACTGCCAGTTTAGACCTATTCATGAATTTGGATGTACAAAGAGATTTTTATTGAACAAGGTTATGTGTGTACAGATCTTATTATTATATTATTATTATTTAATGGTAGAAATCCTGTGTTTTCTGCAAGGAAATTAATACTCATTAAATAAAACTCTAAAAATTATTCATTCTTCCTACCTGTCCATTTCTACTCTCTTTATCATTAAATCCCCCATTAAAGGGATCATTCTTATAGTGACACCACCAGGGACTTAAGATGGTCATGACTCATATGTATATTTGCCAAAGGTAGCAAAACAATTTTCAGAATTGGAGATTCTTTCATACCTGCATAGTATTCTAAAATGCAGATGATATATTTAAAAAGTTGATCTTAGATTGTTTTCCCCTTTCACTATTAAAAACAAGGCAAATAGCCTTGGACATTCTCTATTTTGCATGTGTACATGACTGTAAGTAATGAATAGAGGGGAATTGCTGGGTATTTGCATTCTAAATTTTATAGATATCTCTGTTTCCCTCCAAAGAGGTTCATTCATTCGTTCATTCATCCATTCTTTCAGTATATATACCTACTACGTGCTGAGCGTGTACTATTCCAGAGTCTGGGGATGCAGCAGTATATATAACAAAGTCCTTGCCTTTACACAGTTTACAGTCTAGTTGGAGAGGAGAGACAATAAACAAATACATACAGTAATGTCATATAATAAGTGGTCAGAGGGGATGGAAGCCGCTGGTTTTGATAGAGTGATCAGAGAAGGCCTCACTGAAGAGGTGACATTTGAGCAAAGGCCTGAAGGAGGCAGGGAAAAATTGATGTGCATTTCAGGGGTAGTGGAGAGAGGTAAGTGTATAGGTCCCAGGGCTGTAGTGTGTTTGGCATAGTTGAGGGACAACAAGAAGGGCAATATGGCTAATACAGATGAAGTAAGAAAAATGGTAGGAGATGAGGTTGGAGTACATGAAGGTCTGTCTGGAAAAAATGCTACCATTGTTAATATAACAAGAATGGTTTGTGCAACATCAATGTAACCTGGCAGCAAAGGAGAGTGGACTGGAATGCACATGTGTGAACAATGATGACTTCACTGTACTAGTCAGTGGGGGTGGTAGATGCTGTTGAGTGAGCATGTGTGCTATGTGGCCATCGCATTCAAAATGACTGAGTTAGTAGAGCAACGAATCAGCACCCAATTTTTTGTTAAGCTTGAACATTCCTCCACAGAAACTATTCAGATGAGTCAGAAGGCTTTCTGGGACAATGCAGTAAGTACAGCACAAATAAAAGTGTGGCACGATGCTTCAAAGATGATCAAGAATCTATTGAACGTGATCCACGTTCTGGAAGGCCTGCAAAAAGCAGAATACCTGAGGGTTTTGAATGCGTACTGGCTGAAAACAACAAAGATCAGAGAATTGTGTGAGATCCCAAGGTGCCTCCTTTGAGGTCCACTGAGGCATCATTGTCCTATGTACAATGTTTCTTGTATCTTGCATCTTCTTCAATAAATGTCTCTTTCATAGCACATGACTGGATGGATACTTCTTGGACAGACCTTGTATTTTACCAATGGGCAGCATTTATAAAAGTTGTACCAACTTAAATATCAGAAATACATGAGAGTACCTGTTTTCCCAACATACTCATCAACAATGTTATCAAACTTGTTGATCTGTGCCAATTTTATAACAAAAAATGGTATTTTATCATTTTAATTTGCATTTCTTTTATTATGAGTGAGACTGAGTATAAGAGCTATTTTTAATGAAATATCTTACAATTTCCTTCACTCGTTTTTCTTTTGGGTTACTGGTCTTTTTCTTACTAATATGTATGTTCTTTAGTAAGGAAAATAGTTCTGGGCCTGTAATTTGAGTTGCAGATATTTCCACCTTGTCATTTGTTTTTTGACTTTGTTCATATTTTTTCCAGGCCAATTTTTTTTCAAGTCAGATTGTTCAATATTTTTCCCTATGCTTCTGCATTTTGTGTCATATATAGAGAAGCATTCCTCCAAGATTTTTTCCAATCCTATGATTTTTTTTCTATACAGGAATATATTTTGGTATAAGATGTGAGATGTGCCCGTAACTTTACTTTTTTTCAGATGCCCATTCAATACCACTGTCTACTGAATTACCTCTCTTTCCCTCCTTGATTTGAAATACAATCTTTATCATATACTAAATGCCCATATGTATCAGAATAGTTATTTTTTAATTATGTTAATGTCATCTGCAGCGCACTTCCCAATCCATGTTTTCTTGATATTTACTGAGCACATCTCATGTGTTCACTAAATTAAACCTATAGAAAGATACAAAATGTGCCATAACTTTTGCCTTTGAGATGTTAGCATAGTTCAGCCAAAGCAACAAACTAGCCTATGAGATAGAGGTACCAACCTCTATCTCATATCTGCTTTATAGCTAAAGCAGAAGGGGGAGGTCAAGTGAGCCAAGCAGTTGTGGGCTTTTTTCCTCTATGTGCCTTGTCCAAAGCCAGTTCTGCTGAGCTCTTTTAAATTTTTTTCCATTATAAAATTAATACATGTTCAATATTCATTATTTTAAAAGTTTAGGCAAATTTCAGAGTGTAAAAGTGAAATGGGAAAATTCTACCCTCAACTCTCAATTCTCGCTCTGTGCAGAAATTTGCTTTCCTAGAGGACTCTGGATGCCATATTCTCATGTGACCTTCCTTCATCAATTATTCTCTTCCTTGACCCTGTCTTTTTTTATTTCAGCTTCATTTCCTGCTGGCTCATTCTCTGCAATCTGTAAATATATGTAAGACCCTGCCATATTAAATGAATAAATACTTGAAATCACCTTAACTTTCTTTACCTAAATCTGTATCTAATCAAATTTTATCTAATTGTTAGAGGTACCTACTCCCAGCAACCCCGGCCCCTTCCACTCACTCACCCTTTAGAGCAGATCTGGGGCTTGTCCAGTCCTAGGGATGCATGCTTAGCCTATGAAACTGAGTACTGCAAGAGCTGCCCTAAAAATTCAGTTTGGCCATGGGTTATCCTGGGTCTTTTGGATCCCTAAGAATCTCTGGTTCATTGAGGGATGTAGGTTTGGTCCCATGTGCACCTGGAAATGGAATTCAGTTTGGACCTCTTAGTGTACTGTACTCTTAACCAAAGATTGTATATGGATCCCTGGGTCAGCCCAAGGATTAACCTAAAGGGTTTTTTCTATTTACCAATTAAGCACATATATATCAAGCCCCCTCATATGAAGGTACTGTAAGTGATTACATTATGTCCTGGGACCGATCTGTCTCCCTTGTATTTTTGGAATTATTTTACTTATCAAGTTCTTTGTAATTATTTAATTACCTATCTAATATTTTGACAGTAGTAGTGGATGAAAATTGAGGAAAGGCTGTTCTGAATTTGGCAACTAGGTTTCTGTTAATGTTCAAGAATGAAGCCTAAAGGAAGCAATTAGGATAGAAATTGCAGGATATTAAAAAGGTAACAGGAGATCTTAACTATGTGAGATGATGGATGTGTTAATTAGTTTGATTGTGGTAATCATTTCACAATGTATATGTAGTATATCAAAATGTTGTATACCTTAAATATATGTAATATTTGTCAATTATACCTCAATAAAGCTGGACAAAAAAATAAATAAAAATGTAAAGGAAACAGAGGATCATATGCCTAAAAAGATAAAACTACACAACTTTTAGAAGAAAGTAAAGGAGAAAATTTTTATGACCTTGACACATTACCTCAGACTGCTACAATAAAATACCATATAAACTGGGTAGCTTATAAAAAAAACATTTATTTCAATTCTCACAATCCTGGAAATTAGGAGTTCATGATCAGGGTGCCAGCCTGGCCAGTTTCTGGTAAGAACCCTCTCCCAAGTTTCAGGCTAATGACTTCTGGTATCCTTACATGGTGGAGAGCAGAGCAGAGCAAACAAGCTCTCTCATGACTTTTTTTAAAAAGTCCTCACCCAAGGATATGCTTATTGATTTTAGAGGGAGAGGAAGAGTTGAGGGTGGGGGAGTGGGAGAGAAACACGGGCATGAGAAAGAAACAACAATTTAATCGAACCCGCAACCTAGGTATGTGCCCTTACTGGGAATTGAACCTCAAACTAACTGAGCAACCCAGCCAAGGCTGTGGTGACTTTTAAGGACACTAATCCTATGCATAGGAACTCCACCTTTATTACTTCATCTAATCGTGATTGCCTCCCAAAGGCCTCACCTACTATTATAATGTTGGGGGATAGGGTTTCAATATATGAATTTTGGGAGGACAGATTCAGTCCATACAGATGATATATTATAGAAATGTACACCTGAAACCTATATAACTTTATTAACTAATGCTGCCCAATAAATTCAATTAAATAAATAGAAAGGATTCAGTCCATAACACTTGGGTTAGGCATAAAGGTCTTAGAATTGACATCAAAAGCATGATCTATAAAAGAGAAAAACTGATATGTTGGACTTCATCAAAATTTTAAAATTTTGTACTCTAAAAATAACATAGAGAACATAATAAGATAATCCATAGACTGAGAAAATATCTACAGATCATGTATCTGAAAAAGGACATATCTAGTATATATAAAGAACTCTTACAACTTAATAAGAAGAGAAATAACCCAATTTATTTTTATTTGTAATTTTACATTTGAAGAACCCAATTTAAAAATGAGCAAAAAATTGACATAGACATTTCACCAAAGAAGATAGGCAAATGGTTGATAGGTAGAAGAGGCCAGACACAAAAGACTGCATACATAGCAGATGATCCATTTATATGAAATATATATATATATATTTAAAAAGGCAAATCTATGGAGACAGCAGATTAGTCATTGCATGGGGCTGGAATTGAGGAATGTGAATTGATTACAAATAGACATGAGAGATATTTTGCAGTTGATGGAAACACTGAAATTGGATTGTGATGTTTGCACAATTCTGTAAATTCAGTAAAAATCACTGATTTGTGCATTTAAACACAGATGAATTTTAGTGCTCACTTCAGCAGTACATATACTAAAAAACAGTTGAATTTTATCGCATACATATTGAAGTATATAAATTATACTTTAATAAAGCTGTTAAAAATAGGAAACAAGAAATACAATCAATGTTTACAGGTCATTTGT